TTTCTTCAAAACTAATGAGCAAAGATTTAAACTTCGTGAAATTGAATATTTCAATTATGTGAAAGGTAGGGCATCATCCGGGAGCCTGTTCACACAATTCCGACATTGCCAAAAGTTTTCCAGGATGGGTCAACCACTTGGCGTTGGGCGAAGAATTACTCACCTTAGGGTCAGTTAGCTAAAAGCCAAGAAACGTTTCCGAATAGTGGCACGGGGCTCTAAAGGGATACACTCCGACAATCTGTATTGACTGGAAGCTAGGGAACGTTAGCACACTGCATGGATGAGATGACGATGACAGGTACTCTGTCGCCTACACTTATGGCTCGACCTGTTTAGAATAGCTGAAATATACGCCAAACGCGAATCCGCGATTACAGGGATTCCCAGACACCGAGAAAAGAAGAAATGGAAAGAATGGGCATACTTCCACAAGAGACGAGGGTTGTTAGTAGCCTTGATCCCGCAACGGTCGTGAAACACGGCCGATTAGAACTTGCAGGCCAGAGCGGAGAGGACCTGTTTGTGATGGATGTCAAAAAAGTTGTGACATGCACCAAAGAGGACAGGTCCTGCCGTTAGGGAAAATTTTTGCAAAATACGAGCCTCCCTTCTAATTCTTTCCTCCTGCGGCACACCCTCCCCCTTCCAGTCCCCATCTCACCTCCCATTTATCTGCTTTAAATTGCCCAACAACGTTCCCAACGGCATCAAAACCTCGAAGCCCAACTCGCCAAGAGCAAAAGCATCGGCTGAGTTCAGGAAGCAGACGGAAGAAGGCCATTCCTGGAAGGCATATTCCACGATAACTAGGCGATCACAGAGACAGGCTCACATCGGGTCCTCCACACCGCTGCACCTTTCGTTCTACGATAAATGGAAAGGCCAAATGATTGCAAGTCTTCAGCGGTTTCTCCGCCCACCAGACTATCACAGAATGTTTCCATAACCCTTCAACGGATAGGACCGCTATGTGATCAAGCTAAAGGAGCCTGTGTGGGAGGCCATTGATTAGGTTTTCAACGTAGAACTTCCAATCGGAACCGAATGTATTAGAAAAAAAAACAGAAGTAAAACTATAAGTTTTTCTATGCGTGAGTGTCACAAATCAAACTGAACAAAAACGATGTGTGGAGCACGCGAATTCAAACTCCATTGTTAACATTCCAAGTTTCCAAGTCACGAAAAGCTCAAGCCTGGTAAGCGCCCACTCCACACACATCTTTGATGTAACGAACAACTCAACAAACTACACTCACAAGCACTCTTGTAAAAGAAATTCAACAAAACGGAACTGGTCACAGAGACCGTTCCACTTACCACGCGGATCCCTCGAATCGAACTTAGGAGCACGAGCGAGTGACATTCGCCAACCACTACTTTCACCAGTGGACAGCCGACTGCGTTCTGCAACCTGGCTGCACTATCACAACACAACAACAGCAAGCAACACAACGACAAAAAAATCACTCTTTGGTAATGTACGAAAATAGATTTGGTTATGAGGTGTTAGAGAAAGTAACGCAAGATTGTAGGGAAGACAACCAGGATTTATGGGGTTGGGAAGTTAACGGAAGATTAATTAGGTATTAGAATTCCGAAAACTAAGATGGTCTAACAGCCTACTGGTATTCTTCCAACTGAATTAGTCAATGAGTTCATTAAAATAGCATTCCTGGGGATTACTCAGGACATCCAACTCACGGCACTGAGTGCGAGCCAGCTAGTATTCCAAGCTGATTGAATTGACACAGCACTTTGGCTTCAAATAAACTTCATGCCATCCTACAGCCTTGTTCGCTCTGGATGATGAGGTGCGTCAAGAGGAGATGGTTTGGCGCGACGCCAGCCCCTTTTTTCATTTTTTTTCTTTCGGCAAGCGACGTGACCGTGTCGGCCGATCCTGCCAGTCGCTTTCCACCAGTCGCTATCGTTTACCCGCTTCAACAACTGGTGGAGAACGAGCTGGCGGCACGCTAAACTCGTACTCCCTGCCACGCCCCCAACGGTGGTGAACAAGACGGTACATCATTTACTGCGTACCTCCTGGCCTCACCCAAAAAAATCGACAGTCAAAAAATCCCTCCCTTCCATCTCAAGTTTTGACGTTATTATCAAGTGACAATCATTATTCAGCAGTTAAAGCCGTTGAATAATGAGTAATCTTCGAAAATTGGAATTGCAGGAAGCTATGATAAATTTTCGGATATATTGAGATTAGACCGTGAAATAAAGGTATGGGGCATAGAGCGCAATGACCTGATCTGAAGCTGTGTGGAGTCAACTAGCTAAGACTACTAGCTGGTATGCGCGACTCGAAGAAGGGTATTAGTATGGATGAAAGAAAGAGCATTGCTCTTAGTTGCTATTAGTCAAAATGGAAAATAGGATGGACGATTCTCCTTCCACCCACAGGGCGTAGATGGACACAGTGGGGTGACAATTAGGGCCAATACTAATACCAGCCGCACCATCCGAAACCCTTTCCGAAATAGTTGCCTCAGTGATTCAGGCTACAACGAGACTGCTTTCCCTCCCAACTGTCTCCCCTATATTTCTTGTCTAAGAAAATGAAAACAAAATCAGCATTTTATGAAGAAGCTAACCCAATGTGCTACTTCTCGGCGCTCCACCGCTGTCGACACTGCTCAACGTCATATTGAAGTCTGCAAATTCACACCACGTCACAATACATGAAATCATTCTCAAGTGAAAGTTTGCCATCCAGGAAGTCGTCCCGCTCAGTTTTTATGGAAAATGAGTGAGCTGGACGACTTCTTAAACGGCCCAATTTCATGGTGTGCGATCATGCATTCACTTCACTGGATTCACTGGGGCAAAGTGGCAAACTAGGAGAACGATAGAAGCAGAAAACATGCATGTGACTAGCTGGTGCTGAGAAGCGAAATTTTGCGAAAGTCATAAAACCTAAGCTGTATCAGGGGAGGGAGAAAAATGTAATTAAGTAGATGGTATAGGTATAAATAGGACGAGAACGCTGCGCGCCGCAGCGCCTTTGAAAAATCACAGGTTGAATCATACCGTCAGGATCTGCGCCGAATGACTCGTGAGGTTGTGATCGTGACGGACTTCCGAGATGGCCACGCCTTCTTGCTGCCTCCTCTTCCTGCCGTTGCATTTCTTTCAATTCGAACTGGAATCGAAGATTGTCAGTCTGACTTCAACTTGTTCTAAAATTCAATTCGAAAAAAAAACAACAGCAAAATGTTTCCAGGTCTAATTCCATAGAATGGTCCCGAACTATCGCTGGAATAACATCTATCATTTATGGCAGACGAGTAGAAGAGGGACAAAAAACGACCCACTTATTCTCCATGTTTAACTTGTAGTATTAGAGTTCTAATTCCATGAAATGCGTTAGCAGAGATATCTGGAGGATGTAGAGGATCCCTTGGGCAATACTGTGATTACCACAGGGAAACTGTCTTTGCACAAAACTGCCCCCCCCCCCCCATTTCCGGAGCTCCCTGGGTTTAGGAAAAATTCCACAACCCCACTTTTGCACGGGAAGTCTTTGAATGCCCTATCCCCCATGTGGTACATCGACACAATCTTCCCATATCGCGGTAATTTTTCTCAAAAGAGACTTTTCGTGATTATTATTATTATTATTATTATTATTATTATTATTATTATTATTATTATTATTATTATTATTATTATTATTATTATTATTATTATTATTATTATTATTATTATTATTATTATTATTATAGCTCTAATCAAGAGGCGGTTCAACGAGAGAGCAAAATAGGTGATGCTTGTCAATTGCCTTAGAGGCCCGTATTGTTTGATCCCATGATAAATGAAGACTTTGGTGGGGTCGCGGTTGAGATCTTGGCGCGAGAGGTGCAAACCACTGCGCGGAAAATCCGTATTTTGGATCCAGGTCATCAGTCCAAAGATGACCCTTAGCGAGCAGTGCCTGACTACCATGCGGGAACCGAAACACTTAATAAGGCTGGTTTTCCACCCCTAATGATGGACAATCCAATTTGCCCCAGAAGCCAGGTTCCTGTTGGTGTTGAACATCGGACTAGGTTACGCATATGTTTGGGTGATCCGTTTCGGTGTCGAACTGCAGAAGGGTAATAGAAACGTTTAGTAGGATTGTCGAGAATTGCTTCGACCCCTTCAGGCTCTGATGAAGGAGCTTTCGCTGAAACGAAACGCCAAGGCTTATATAGAGCAGCACTTGGCGATTACTAATATTATTATTATTACTTATAACTATTAAGCTGACTTAGATCACCCTGGTATCATGGATCTCTCCAAAGCTTTGCCACCAAGAGTTGATCAGATTTTTCTATTGATAAGCACGTAAAACGCAACTCAAGTATCTGAATGATTAAGAGCCCCGCACAGATCAAACAAAAAATTTACACAAAGGCTCAGTCTACTTCATCACCACAGAAATGTGAGACAGTCAGAAAAAAATCCAAACAAAACGAAAAAAATAGAATGACGTATAATCTTCACTAGAACTGACCGTAGTGAGTTTTTCTAAAGCAAGGAATCGTTCTTCTTGCGCAGCCGCCGATTTCTCGAAGGCTTCGTGTCGTTTTATCAGGGCTATCGTCTCCTCCAAACTTCGTCCATATTCGCGTGATATGAGATACGGTTCTTGTGCCATAAGCCAAGATTCCGCAACTGCGGCATCTCGGGCGAATTGGTAAACTTCGAGAACTGCAAATAGTGATAACTTATTTCTCCACTGCTAATTATCTAAAATTAATGATACAAGATCAAAGTTATGATAAAACAACTTCTAACGATAAGAGCATTTCGGAAACTTCAACTTACTAAGCTGCAGATACTCCCAACGATCCTCCCATCGTCGCATCATCTCTGCTCGTTCTGTCGTCAACTTTATCAATTTCTTCTCAATCTCACTGGATGCGTAATGTTTCCGATTCAACAAATCCCTTCCAAGTGAAATACAGGCGTTGAAATTGTCTTCTCGAGCATCAATTTCCGCCTGATAAGTTAGTATTAACTTCCTTCAAGATAACTCAAAAGGGTGGCGTGCGTGAGATCCACGTTGCCGGAGCGATTTTGCTAGATGACATTCTGCAACATTCCACCTTGGGCAGCGTTCAGACTTCGCGATGATGCGCGCGACGCGCTAAAACGCAGCAGCACTCTCTGCTATAGACGAATCGATCGGCGTCGCGCTTGCGTAATTAGAGAGGATGGGGGAACACGAGGGTATGCACCGCCCGATCACGCAGTCTAGTAACGATTGTGTAAAGGCAGCATCTGCCCTTCTGTTGTACTACACCCTCTCAAAACACAAGCAGCCGACGCCGATCAATAGCGCGTCTATAGGATTAGAACGATGTTGAGTTGTAGCGCGTCGCCGCGCGTTAAAGCGCGTCCTCACGAAGTCTGAACGCTGCCTCAAGATAATGAACGCCTTGACTAGAAGAGAAAGTAACCCGAGCAATTTTGATCCATGAAAAGTGTTATGACCTACGCAAGGAAAGTGGGCGATCAAAAAAGAAGGGGAAAAAGCGGAGAAAACATGTACTGCAACCAATGCACAGGGTGTTCAATGAGTCAACTTTAGATTCTGGTGCAAATTCCGCGCATGTGACTACTTGGAACGCGGCTTTCGCATGGTCGCCGCAACGTGGACCTTTCACACGCCTCTCAGTTCAGAGAAACAAGCAGTTTAGAGATTTGAAAAGATATTACCTTCAAACTTTGGTGATTGTTCATCAACAACTCAACACCGCTAACATCCTTTGGTCGTTCTTGGCTTGTCATCTCTCGTTTGACTTCATCCATCCACAATAGAAGGTCACTAAACGTTTGAATTCAGAAGCGCCATGAATAAGGACTCCCAGTGGATAACAGTATGCAGTAAGAAGAGATTCAGGCCTACAGGAATCCGCAACGAAAACATTCCAAAAAATATTTAAAAATTTAAAGATTTAGTTCTTCACTTACCGGACCATATTCATGAAGCGGAACAGGTCGGATGTATCCGTGAGGCGAGATGTACGAGCGTCGCACAATCCTCGGAGATGTCTCCAGGCTTTCACAACTTCCGATTCACGTGCAGACATTTCCAGGGCTCGCTCGCCAGCATAGCCATCACGAAGCTCGCTGGCATCACGTTCAATTTGAGCCACCTTAACAGTTTTCAGATTCAGAAACTTTCTGGTAACTAGGAAACGGAAAGGCTAAAATAAATAAAATAGGGCAATAATGAAATGGCTGGTGGCCGCAAAGTGTAACACAGCCTAGAAAAACAAAGAAAGATTAATGAAAATTAATTATTCCAAACCTGTTCTCCAATTGCATCGATGTCCTTCAAGAAGTTCTGATGTTTCCTAGACAAGGCACCGACACTGCTGGAATCTCGTCCCAAATCTTCAGGCATTGCATGAGTCTTCTCAAGAATTCGTGAAAGACAATCACGGCAATCATGGAAGAACCTGAAGTCAAATGAAATATTGGAGATTACGAAATGGCAAAATATGGGGGCTCACTTATGTAGCAGTCGACTTGACTCCAGCATTTGGGCACGAGTGTCGATCAGCTCAAGAAGATTTTCCCACGCCTCATTGAGGCTATCCTTCCATAGAGCAATCGTTGGCGCATCCGTATGACCAACAGAAATCAACTATAAAAAAAACACTTAATTCACAGGGGATACCGTTTATTCTCCTTTTTGACACAAGTAATTTCAAAACTCTTTCAAGGAGCACATTATTTGCAGGGTTATCTAGTTTGCAGACATCATGTCGCCGCAGTCACATGAATAAGTCACTGAGAGAGCGAAAACCCACCCATAGAAGAAGACCAGGAGCAGATGTAACTTAGGTCCGCTACCTGTCGAGAGTTGGATGGCAAGATACTAACTCGTTTACGAGTAAACTTGTACTGCATCATTGACAACGAAGTCTCAAGACATGTCAATAACCTGTTTTTTGACGTCAACGGCAACTCATCTATTGAAGACACTTCCCGCGATCAAGTGATCAGCGAAATGCCTCCGTGCATTTGGCATCGTTGTCCGCACTCGCAGAGAATATACCACTTTCGTCACTCGAAATGGCGAGATAAGGAAGCTAGAGGCCCGTGAATTGCAACCATTGCAACCGCGTTCTGTAACTCCGCCGGCTTACAAGCGGAAATGCGTGTGTACATGACGTTGTCTGGAGCGTCGTAGGATGATTTCCTGTGCTCTTGCCGAGAGTTAGTCGGGAATTGATTGCACGTCGAATCGCTGATTGGGGTTGTCGACGTCCGACAAAGTCATCCAAGGCGCTCACTGTTAAGGGGTCCCACAGATGGAAAGAGCGCGGTTGCTTACCTTGAACATGGCGCAGAAGTGTTAAGTTGCCATTACGGACGACTACCATCCCGGACAACAAGATCACGATTGTCCCAAAGCGGCAACATCCCAACCAGTAGCGGCCAATTCCAAATGTAGAGCGCCGCCAAGCCTTGCCCATCCTCTGGATGTAGGATGTACCAGACCGCGTATCAGTGCTACATCAGGCCCGGAGTCAAAGGTTTGAAAACTGTTCTGTAACATGTAATCGAACTGCAAAACTCACCGCATCACACCCATCATTGGCTCGAGCCACTCGCTCCGATCCGATGTTTTCGGTGTCGCGTGCAAACTGCTGGAATCGCTCTTGCAGCATTTGCACGTGCTCGTAGTCCTGACCGTTCTCTTGACTTCCAGCGACCACCTTGAAGCGAATGATTCCGTATTTTGCTCAGAACATACTCTGCGCCACCACCTACCTCTTTGTCGGCAATCCACTGTAGCAGATCATCAATCTCACGATGGAGTGCATAGAGTTCTAGTGTCTCGTCAAGTCTCTTTCGACGTTCTTTAGACAAGTCTTGAAGACCAGCGTACAGCTTTTCGATCTGCGATTGTCGCAAGGCGATCTGGTCACTAAAAACGAAAACTCTAAGATAACCATTCGAACAGCACAGAAAGAAATACGAGAAAACCTTCGTTTATTTACCTGAGCGGACTTCGTTCATCCACAAACTTTTGCGCCTTAGCAGCCAGCTGTCGAATGGTGTCAGCAAACTTGTCAATATCAGATTGGAGACGTTCATGTTTTTTGATTTGATTCCGTGTAGAGAACTCGTCTTTCCCACGTTCGTCCTGCAATGGAAGTTCTATGAGAACACATGGAACGAAAGAGAAATATCACTTTCAAGCAGCCCGAGGCAGAAACAGGAGTGTTAGAAAAGTACTCGATTCAATATATTATAGAAGTCACATGAAAAGGAGCAACCACTAACGAGAACAAGAGGATGACAAAGGCTTCTATGCACATTACCTGCATCATGTAAAGTTCTTGTTCGCTCATCCAAGCTTCGGCCTCTCCACAATCGTAGAGGAACTGGTGGGCTTTCTCACTTTCCGCCAATCTGTGACACAGGAACATCACGACAATGCACAATTGCAACGGAAACAGCAGGTGGAGATTCTTCGCCGTTACCTGTCTTTTCTGTCCTTGATTGCGTCCTTTAGTTCTTGCCATGCGTCACGCAATTCAGCGATGCGTTGCTCGAAAGCGGCCGAGTTTTCATGTCCTGTAAAAAGTCTTGCTCAGCAATTATTGTTGTCATCGAACGAAAACCAAACAGATGTTAACTACAATATTTCATTATTACAGGAAACGATCAAGGTTCCCAATAAATCAGGTTACCATCGGCGGGCGCTGGTAAGATAATGACAGCTGTAACTTGTACGAAACCAATGTAAACATCAAAGAACAATAGCTGAAGAGGAAAGTACTTAGGTATGAAGAACATTCCATCCCTCAATGATAGTGCCGGGCAGGGAGCGTGGAGTTAGAACGCTATGACGCAGACTCATTTAGTATGACATGAAATCGTAAGAACACAGCGTCAACGTCAGTGATCAGCGTCAAAAAACGGGATGCGCCACGCACTCTACTTTCAGTTGAAATCGCAGCAGCTTACTATTATAATACAATGCCTTGAGGGAGCTGGTCCATGAACAAGTCAGTGCCTTTCGTCCCCCCCCCTCCCCAGACAAATCTAGTAAAAATTTGCCATCCTTCGAGTGTAGACGGCTAGGATGGGCCCTGGAGTGTTAGAAGGTTCAGCTGATCCCGGAGGGTAGAAGGCTTAGCGGAAGGCGATTCTGAAATGATCAGAAGGCCGCGTGTGGCAAGCAAAAAACTTGTTACTACACCACCCCCGCCAGCTTACATCATACATAGCCACTAACACAGCAATAAAAATAGGATTCAATTATTTCATTGAATGGGGGCATTAAGATAACGAATGTGGGTGTATAAGATTTACAAGACAAAAACAATTTCTATGAAGGCTTAAATGACAAACCTGCGTCAATAAGTTCACGTCCGTTACTGCAGATTCGTTCAATCCAGGGTTCATGATTTTCGACTTCATTTGTCAACAGCTGTGCATTTTTCTGCAGTCTGGAACACAACGACAAAATGTTTATCAACTGAGGGCGTCATTTGTGCGCCGCCTGTTTTTATATTTAGAGTATTTATTCCTCTACAACAACACCAACCTCTGGCAATCTGGTAGATTCTCTCCAAGCTGTTTAGCATGAGCCAAGTGGAGGCGTTCTGCAATCCACAACTTCTCGTCGTCGACGTCTCGTCCGAACTGGAAGGCTGCCTTTTTGCGCTCCAACTGACGCCGGCGATCGCCAAGGGGTGCTTGTAACCTGTAAAGAGAGAAAACCAATATCTAGCCGTTCTGTCGCTTATAATCTCATAATAAACTCTTACCTCTGTAGTTGTTCCTGCACAGCTAATCTGTGAGCGCGAATGTCCTCTAGCTCATCTGGATGCATCTCCTCCAACTGCGGTTCCATTTCCATCAGTTGGTCAATGTGCTGTGCCCTAAACGAAAAAATTTATGTACCACTTAAGTTTCAAATGGTGAGCCGGTGAACTTACTTCTTAATCATTTCCGTCTCGATCATCTGTTGCTTCTGCATCGCGACATTCACAGTGGTGAGGTCAGCGGGCTGGTCTTCTCGCACCATCTCCTTCTCCAACTGGCTGGCCCATTCCTATAGCAATTAAAGTAATGGACCCCCTTACAATAATGTCCCCCCCTCTTTACAACGTACACGGTCTCTAATCTTTAACAAACCCACCTTCATGTCAGCAATGCTCTGCACATACAGCTGCTGTCGGTTGGCGTCAAACAGTTTCTGTCCCTTCTCTTCGGTGGTCTTCTCTAGCTGCTCCCATTGATGAGCAAGTTCAACTATTTGCGGGTCTATGGTGCCTGTGAATTCGGGCTTCTCAGCGCCCAAGTCAATAGCTGCATGTTGCAACTGGTCAAGACGTTCCTGGAATACACACCAAATAACTAGATTTCAGTGGAAAAAGCGTTGTAAATAAAATTAAATGATTCACTTTGTTCGCCTGTAATTCGCTTTGGAAAGCTTGGTGGCGCACGAACTTCGACGTGATCGTTTTCGCATCTCTGAAATCACAAACTATAGCTGTTGTTATTCGAAAAACGAACCAGGAAAGAGTTCGCTGGTGTGAAAAAGCTTTCTGAACAGTAGCGCAATAATAAGAAGGCATTCAACATTTCAAAAACGCTTGAGTAGTATGCACAGTACGCTCCAAAATCGCGATTTACCCTTTTCAATGAGTCTTCAGAAAGAAAAAAAATCGACATAGTTCCAACAAGCGGTCACGGTCTTTTTAACTGTGGATGAAGAGGCGTGTCAGGTGGGATGGGCTCAGCGCGGCTCCAAACTTGTCGTCCACCAGTTGTTGAAGCGGGTGTAGAGAAAAGGACACGATACAGTCTTACTGCTTGCTCGCCTCAACAACTAGTGTACAACGTGTTCGGCACCACACAATTCAATCCGCCTGACACGCCCCTTCATCCGCCGCGAACAAGACTAGGCATCTGTCAATAAAAATTTCACCCGCCGTGAAGGAAAGGCATATATTTGTCTGTGTCTCTTCAGCGAGGTGATAAAAGAAAAACGAGAAAGAATAAGGAGAAAGGGGAGCTTCGCGGTTGACGAATATCCTGGCACCTTAATAAGCCTCACCTGTAGGTCTCATCTTGAGCTCGAATCATTTTCTCTTCAATCCATTCCCGCAGCTCTTCACAATCCGAAAGGAACTGTTGTAATGCCAGAGCATCCTTGAGTTTTGCAAGCAATGCTTGTGCTCGTTCGCGATTCGCCTCACGACGTTCATCAATGTTACGAGCCTTCTTGTGGATCTGCAAACACGTTTTCTTCGGGAGAAAACAAACCGCTTTTTCTCAGAGTAAGTAAAAAGACAAAATGGGCATAGGTTAGGACTCTCGGTGAGGTTCAACGAGGGGAGCCTCACAGGGATTGTTTAGCGCTGCAATCGTTGGTGTGTCTGTGTCAATATGAACGAGCATATGAAAAATTTTGCACTTTTTCTAGGACCTTGTGCAAAAGGTTCTTTCAGAAATAGTTTTTTTGGAAGTTTCAAAAGTTTTGCTTTACCTTTAGGGGAACCTTGTTCAATTCAAAGCATCAGCCAAAAATGAGTGGATTACAAAAATTGTTGATCTAAATAGAGTTTTAAGGTAACTAACTAGGGTAATAAGGTAACAAGGTAGGTATCCACATGTTTACCGCACCCGTGATGCGCGTGTCAAGCGCCACGACGATCACCCAACCTAACTGGAGTCCTAACCGCGTCCCAAAAATTCCAAGAGCAGTGCTACCTTATCAGCAGCATAATGTCCATCTTGGCACAGCTGATCTCCGAACATTCCAACAGCACGGATCTTCTCGTCGTTGGCGTCCATGGTTGTCATGAAATCCTGAAAGTGCAAGGGTGTAGTTACGAAATAGGAAATGGCAACAGAACGAAAGGATGTGACGCTTCACAAACCAGTCGCAAAATTCCAAATCAACAAACCTGATGTCTCTTGAGCATGTTCTCGGCCTGCTCCAAGCTGGTTGGAGCCTCGTCCTTGGTGAGGTAATTCTCTTGCTGGGACAGCATAACTTCTGCTTGTTTCGCATCGCGCAAGAACATCTGCAATGATGGTATCTCATGTGTTTCTCTATCTAAAGAACTTGATGGACTTTTCCCTCACGCAAATTCAGGGAAGAAAGATAGGGATAGTTCTAACCTGTAGATTGAGTCCTTGACTAAGTAGATGTTGTCGATTATCCCACATGCGCTGGAGCTCCTCCCAACCTTCTTGCAAACCAACAAGTCGCTGACGGAGGAACATGTACCTGGAAAACACAACGATATACTTTTGCCACTGCCCAAAAATCATAGAAGCTTATGGCAGAAAAGAGAGAATTCTAGGATAAAATGCCCTAAACTCACTGTGGATCGGTCTGGTCTTGGGTGACGCGATCTCCCATAGCACGCATCTTCTTGTAATCCTCTGCGTATCCATCGATTTCTTCTCTGATGGCAGCATGCTGGTTCAGTAGTTGTTCTGCTTCCGCTAACGACTGTGGCTCATCTTCAGAAGCAACCTGTGAAAATATGCGTTCAGGGTGGAAAGCTTTATCCTGGAGAAAACTGGCAGAGTTCAAAAGCAAAGGAAAATCACTGTTCCCTTCACAAGCTTAACTACGACAGAAGCACTTCCGAGAAAGCATACAATTCCATGTGGAAAAAGTGCAAGGGAAAAGTGAAACAGTTTTCGCCATTCTGCCAGATTTCTCGATGAAATGCCCTATTTTTGAAAGGGTAGGAATGTTATCGACGGCAATCTTGGGCAGCTTTCATTTAGCACTGCATCTGCAGAGTAATGAGCAGCTGAGGCGTGGGCTCTCAGCCCCACGAGAAATGTACCTCTATGAGAGAAACCACACAAATGTAGGCAATCAGAGCCGTGCCGCTACATAAGTCCCGGCTACAGCCGCGCTGCACTGTGACGCGACAGCGGCTGCGGCTCGGTGACGGTGAATCAGCTGATTTCGATGGAATTCGGCTGCGAATTCCCACTTTTTCAGCTCTTCAAGCTTCGAAAGTGGAAGGTGAGTCATTTTGAACAATTTTGAATTGTACTGGCTCTAATTTCCTTTATTTTTATGTCTATTATTATGCTCTTTTCCTTGTATTTTGCCTTATTTCAGGCATTTAAATGGCTTGCATTCTTTCAGATTCATTCAGAGCCAGTACAATTTAAAATTGTTCAAAATAACTCCTTCCACTTTCGAAGCTTGAAGAGCTGAAAAAGTGGGAATTCGCAGCCGAATTCCATCGAAATCAGCTGATTCGCCGTCACCGAGCCGCAGCCGCTGTCGCGTCAGTGCAGCGCGGCTGTGCCGCCCCGACAGTCCGTAATGATGGGAACTGTATGCCAGCAAGGCTGCATCCTCTCAACTAACGACTATTGGTTATTGAGCTGAAGAGCGCCAGGGTTGCACATCTGCTGATAGGCTCATCGCATCCGTGATCACTTTTTAGGATAAATGGATGCAAGTGGTTATTCCGATGACCTATGTAGGGAAGAAACCAAAACACCGCTAAATAGGGTATTCTGCCTTCAATAACAATAACTCTGTCAATAACGAGGACCCAGCTAATTCATACAGCGGGGGAGGAAGGTAAAAGTTTCTTTCCACGAGGTCGTAACCGAAGGGATAAGGGCTGCATATGAAGGTTCTTGCAGTATCCTCAAGAGGGAAAAGCTCTGAACCAGTGGCAAGAAAGCTGTTTTACATTATGGCAATCCCAGCTTTACAACCAGCCCGATTTACTTTGAATGCCCCTTGACTGAATTGTCCCTGATGAACTAAACCCAGTTCTGGAAAGCTTGTAAGTACTGAATCAAACTCACTTGTCGTTGTGTTGCAGTAAGCCACGCTTGGAAGTGATCCAAATCACGAAGGAATCGTTGCAGGTCACCAGCTTCGTCAAGTTTCGCCTCATGCTCGCGAACTTTCTTATTGAGAATATCCCACACCTGAACTCGGGAGAATAAAGAGGACCACCTATCAGTAGGCAAAAATCGTTTCAAAAGAGAATTTAACGAGAGAACCCACATGGTGGATACGTTTGATATCCTCGCGGATGGCCTGAGCCTCAGAAGGACGCTCCCTTTCTATGGAATCTGCTTCCTTATGAAGAGCATCTAGTTTCGCCTGTATGGCACCGAGATCTCGCTCCATCATTGAAAGCCTGCAATTCAATATCATTTTGTCAAATAACTGGGAAATCAGACGAAGGTGCTGGTGTAGAACAAGTTGTAAGTACGCGGTCCAACCCGGTGGGAGGTAAATGACGTCACATTTTTGGTACAATAACAAATGAGACGTCACTGACAGTAAAACAGTACAGGTTTCCTCGCCATCAACGTGTTATTCAGCAGGCCATCTTAGAAATAGGTTATTTGATAATTCATCTCCCAACCTTAGCAAGTGGCGAACCCGTGCAATACCTGCAGTTGAATAATAACCGCAGCCAGTTGAATAATATGCTGGAAACTACAAAATTACCTTCGTTGGAGTTTCATGACACCACTGAGATCATTGGTGAGAGCGTCAGAATCTTCGAGTACACGAGTTTTATCCTCGATCCATGTAACTGTTTCTTGGCAGTCGATTCTGAAGAAAAAATGAGCATGCATATGAATGAGAACCCCTAGGGAGATATCGGAGCGTCCTTATCCCAGGGACATGCAAACGTACCTGAAAGTTTCAAGACGATGAGCACGATCGAGCTCAGCTTTCTTCTGGTCGACCATATCGCGAAGTTTAGCCCAACGAGCGTTAAGCTTATTTTGACGTGCCATAATGTCATCCGCATTCGGATGTTGCACGTGCAACAGTTGGCGAGCAAGTTCGTTCACCGTGCCAACCTAAATTTCTTGCATTTCAGAACACTTTTTCAACAGTAGCGAGAAGTTTGAACGGGTAATTTTGGAAACATGCCTTAGCTTCCTGGTTCTTCATGTCCTGGTCAAGCGTATCGAAACGATGTTTCATTATCTCGACCTCTTCAAGATCTTTGCCGGGAACAAGAGTAGCCAATAGTTTGGCCTGAAATAATACCAGCAATGAAATGAGCATCAACTCACTGACAGCAACATCCCTTACCTTCTCATCAATCCATGCTTCCACGGAATCGGCATCGGCGTATAGCTTGTACAGTGAAAGAGCATCGATAAGGCGCTGCTTTCTGAGCTGCGCAAGATCTTCAAGTTCCGCCTTGCGCCTAACCGTCGTAGTAAGTCGCTCCTTGATGTCTGGATGTTCACGAGCCTAAAAATTGTGCTTTATTGAGCCCTATAGCCAAGGCAAAAGCAAAACTTCGACAAAGATTAATGGCTGACAGTAGCTATGAAGCAACATTGAATACACTACGAAACCAAGGGTGTACCAAGATATGCAAGGCGTGGTACTGCACACAAACCACAATTCCTAGATAGTTGACTCGAAGTGGCACTTTGCCCTGAAGCATTAAGGTATTAGCCTACGGCTTGCCCTCTGAATTTCGCGTTCTTGCCTCAGAAAATCAGAAACGAGAAATCGCTTCCGCCCTTGACGTACTTGGCAGAGGAAATAGTAGAGGGACTGGAGCGCCCTTTCCCAAACAAGGCTTAGGTTTGCTAGAGGATGCGTCTTCTCTACGAGATTGGACGTCTTCTTCGGTGGCTGTGGTGGTCTCGCTCTTAGCTAAGCCTTGGTCAGGAGGAACGACACAGAAGTGGCCGTGTGGTCTCAACGCTTCCGCCTCCCCTCACACCCCGCTTCCCAACAGCATTAGGCCTCGATATTCCTTAGCAGCTGAACTTTGGGACTGCTCTTCATATCAGAAAACTCGTGATTGGTCTACCAACGTCCCCAAAGAATCAGAAAAATGCAGTTGCGATTTTTGCCAGTCAAATCATAGCTATTGAACGCTAAACTGACCAAATATGCCCTCCAAAGGCTGATTCAACTACTAAATATGCTGTCTTTGGCACATTGTTCGGCGCCCGAAATCGTGATTTAGCACCATATCTAAACTTATTCAGACTATTCCCTCCAAAAGAAGCAAAAAATGTAGTTGGAATAGCCGAGCTAATAGCACCGATTCCCTAAATAAGCTTGTTCTAAGGATAGTAATGTAGAATCACCGCATTCTCCTTTTTATCAACCTGAACACAGGAAATAGGCTTGTAATTATCATGAAAAGAAAAAAACCAGAAACAGAAAGGTACGTCAAGAGATAAGGTAATGTCAAGTTACGTAAGACTAACAGCAGCAAAATAAGTAAAATAAAAAAAACCTCTGGGCGAAAAATTAGACACCATCGGAAACTGTGAACTCGCAGCATTCCCTAGCAAGCAGCTCGTATATCACGTGCTTTACGAAAGATTTACAGGTGGCATCCATAAACGTTCGCTGGTATCGACCTTATCAGGCTACACCAAAATTCACAGATGTACCCGCACGCGTCGAACACCTCCAATGGGGAAAGCGGAGTACAAATACCTCCTACCGCCAATCCTTAGCCGTCGAGCTGCACCCCAAAAAAAGTAACCGCACTAAGTAGAAATTATGCAGAAACAAGCGAAAAATTCAATGAGAAACGATAAAACGACACCTCACTGTAGCGCCTCAGCCTTCTGATAGAGCTGCTGGATGTGGGTGTCAAATGACTTCAGCTCGTCGGTTACGTCGTCATGCTTTCTCAGAAGCAGCTTCACGGTACCTTCGTCTTTACCGACGTCATCACTTGAAATGAGTCGAAGAGTATCAAGAAGATACGCATCGACATCATCAGCATGAGTGAAGAACTAAAATGAAAATATTGATTTTAGATTATTGGGCTACTTCTTGAGATGGACTACTTCAGTAAAGGAAACAAACCTGATAGTAGTCAAGACCGCCAGCGAGCCTCTGGCGCCTCGCATTAGCGAGATCACGAAGCTTCTTCAAATAATCGCGAATATCCTGGATACGTGGTGGGATGTTATCCGATCCTGAATATGAAAAGCTTAACGTTGAGAATGTTTTCTAAACCCTAACTGCAAGTTTGCAGTCCCAGTATCCAGGGGGAAGTGACAGAGATAGAAGTTCACGATACGATTCATGGTGCTCTGTTCTTAACTTTGACCAGACCCGACACCAGGATTCAGGGCTCAGTTCCATTTGGTGGGGTCAGCAAAAGGTACTAAGCAAAGCCTGTACAGGACTTGTAAAGTCCTGTAAACATTTGTGACGGTACTACTGTAGCATTTAGTAGCTTCACAAAAGTCAACGGCAAAAAGATCTAGCGAAAGTGAAAATGCCCCCCAAAGCAGAACTGAGCCGGTTTCAGAAATGTTGCCATTTCCTACACCTGGGATGACTTATCAGGAATTAGAGCACTTCATCACCGGACACTAGAAATACTGCAACCCGAGCGGTCTGCGCACCTCACTGTAGTATTTTCATTCATAGCACAGAGCCCTATAAATCATTAAAAATAGTTTGCATTGGCACTTTCGCCTAGGCAAGTTAAGAGCGTTTGCCACAGGACCTAATTTATTGACCTCTATCATTGATTTTTACGAGGATATAAAGCAAAATCAAAAAAAGTCAAACGAACCAGGAATATTCTCTGCCAACAATTGATCACCATCTTTGGAAAGTTGTTCTAATTGGCGTTCAATTTCACCAAGATTATTCTCAGCGTTCTTATGTTTCGCTAGGAGATGTGATACTGTCACAATATCTTTGCCAGTATCTGTGGAGCTGAGCACCTAAAAACCCATTTGAACACTGGTAACATTGAAAAAAACGGGGAAAAATCACAACTTCTCATTCACAGCACTAAAATTTCTGGTTTTCACTCACTCGCTCTTGATCCTTGATGCTGTTCTCGAGATCAGCCACATCCCACCAGAACTGGCAGAGTTTGCGGTTATTCTCCAGGCGTCGTTTACGCTGAGCAGCCAGATCGAGCAATTCTTGATATCTGGGAAGAACGATATTGTTTTAAAAAAATCGAAAGTGATAAAAGACTCTTCTATAAGTCTTCTATAAGACTTATAGAAGACTTATTAATAAAGCAAGCATAGGAAATTACTGTGAAGCCAACCTCGCCTGTAATATAGCTGACCGCTCGTCGACCACAGCTGGTTCCACTGGCAGGTAGCCACTACCATCTGGACCTTCTGGATCGCGGAATCTGAAGATATGGTCGCTATTTCTTTGTTCACAATGTACCTTTCAAACAAAAGTACAGAACCACAATTATTCGCTGGCGCTGTCCAGAAATGTTTCTCCTAGAGGCCGCCTTTGGTTAAACATTCGATGGGAGAAGTGAAGAAGGGAGAAACAATGAAGAAAGGGAGGGGCGG